TTGCGAGAACTTTAACATATGCTCAGATACCAAACTTCTTCATCTACAACAAGAAGCAGAAGAAGTGGATAAGAAGGAAAATAGGTTTTAGCATTGGAAGGATTAACTATGCTCCCCGGATCCAGGAAGATGCATATTATTTGCGTGTGCTACTGAACATCGTTAAAGGTCCTACAAGTTATGATGACATCAAAACCTATAAAGGAGTTCTTTATCTTGGATACAAGGAAGCATGTTCTGCTAGAGGCTTATTAGATGATGATCAAGAGTACATTGAGGATATTTTACAGAGAAGTTTTTTTAGCACAGCAAGTGAGCTACGAGAGATTTTTGTGATAATGATGCTCAATAATACTTTGACAGCGCCAGAAGATGTATGGGAGAAGACATGGGAGCAACTCTCAGAAGATATTGAATATAACCGAAGAATCCATTTCAATAGACCAGGTTCGCATGAAGTAATTATACTCCTTTTTGTTCTTCGGAATCTATGTTTAATATAGGTCTAACTTCTTAATATTCATTGCAGGATTGTTGTTAAGTGATGAGGACAAAACGAAGTATGCTCTTCAAGAGATTGACAGTATTTTGAGGCGTAATGGTACTTCTCTAGGTAGATTCACTAAAATGCCAAAGGTTGCAAAGACAAGGCGTCAGGATTCAAATGTGTTGATACTAGATGAGCGCAACTATTCAAGAGAAGAATTGTTAGAAACTCTTGAAAGAGACATTCCAAAGATGATAGGCGAGCAAAAGAAAATATATGATGAGATTCTTACAGCCGTGAATGAAGAAAAAGGTGGAATGTTTTTTGTTTATGGATTCGGTGGAACTGGAAAAACCTTTCTCTGGAAATTGCTATCTGCAGCTATTAGATGTCAAGGAGATATAGTTCTGAATGTTGCATTAAGTGGCATTGCTTCGTTGTTGTTGCAAGGGGGTCGGACTGCCCATTCGCGTTTTGGAATTCCTCTGAATCCAGATGAGTTTTCCTCATGTACAATGTCATCTGATCAAGCTAATTTAGTTAAAGAGTCTTCACTCATTATATGGGATGAGGCACCGATGATGAGCAAGCATTGTTTCGAGACTTTGGACCAGAGTTTGTCTGGCATTATTGGAAAGGATAGCAACAACCCATTTGGTGGAAAGGTTGTGGTATTTAGAGGGGATTTTAGGCAAGTACTTCCTGTTATCAATGGAGTAGGTAGAGCTGAAATTGTGTTGGCATCATTGAATTCTTCGTACTTATGGGAACATTGCAGAGTTCTACAGCTCACAAAGAACATGCGATTGTTATCTGGTTCATTGGCGCCAGAGGAGGCAGCGGATCTTAAAGAGTTTTCTCAGTGGATATTAGATATTGGGGATGGTAAGATCAATGAACCAAATGATGGGGAAGCAGAAATCGAAATTCCTTCAAACTTCTTGATCCTAGACTCAGACGACCATATAAAAGCAATCAGCAAGGCTGTTTATGGTGATACTCTCCAGCTTAAAGTAAACAAAGATCCTAAGTTTTTTCAGCAACGAGCAATCTTATGTCCAACTAACGAAGACGTCAATACAATTAATGACTACATGTAAATAGCTTGAAGGTGAAATTTCATTCTTTATTCTAATGTTTTTTGTATGGACGATTTACTTAATTAACAAACTAATGGATTCATATATTGCCGGTGAAGAGAAGATCTATCTCAGTGCAAATAGTATTGATCCATCGGATAAAAGTTCAGTGAATAACGACGCTTTGGATGCTGATTTCCTGAATACTATTAAGGTTTCTGGTTTGCCAAACCATTATCTTCGGCTCAAGGTAGGTTGCCCTGTCATGGTTCTACGAAACATTGAGCCCACTGCAGGTTTAATGAATGGAACAAAACTTCAGATAACTGAACTTATGGATTTTATGGTCGGGGCTAAGATCATAATTGGAGAAAAAGTTGGGCAAACTGTTTACATTCCAAGATTGTTGATTTCACCATCAGACACCAGGTTACCCTTTAAGATGCGCCGTAGACAATTGCCTTTGGCAGTGGCTTTTGCAATGACAATCAATAAAAGTCAAGGGCAATCACTATCCGAAGTTGGTCTCTTTCTACCAAGACCAGTGTTTTCACACGGACAGCTATATGTGGCAGTTTCTAGAGTCACATCAATAAAAGGACTGAAAATTTTGATTGTAGGGAAAGATGGAAAACCTCAGCGAAAACTATGAATGTGGTTTTCAAAGAAGTTTTCAAAGACCTTGAAAACAAACGAGGGTGATTCAAACCTTGAAGGTATGTTATTTAGTTACCATACTCTTAAGACTAATGTTCTTTGAATTAAGTACTAATATTTTCTGTTCTTAAAGTGTAGATCATTTATCATTCGCGGGCGTGGAAAGCCCCAACATCAAACTTTGCATGTCGTTTTAAATTTGATATTTTCTTTTGTGGATTCTAAATTTCCTATTGTTTTCTCTGGACGTGTGTATGTGTCTATTGGGAACTATATACTATTGCTTAGTATTTTCTTTTAAGTTAAGTTTTAAATGGAAAACCTTTTTTCTAATAATTATAACAACCAATCACCACAGACATCAGGTACTATTTATTTCTAAACTAATTTTTATATGACAATCAATCACCACAGACATCATACAAGAACAAACTTCAATAAACATTCATCAAACAATTTCATCCGGTCATATCCTAACTATCCGTTTCACTAACAAACCTAATTTGTATTACTTTCTTGACATGTTTTAATAAAATACACTTACTGTTCAAAGATATTGCAGACTGTTGTATCAGTCGCTGTAGATAATGATGCAGTGTTGTCGAGTAGGTTTGTCTCAGTAGAACCTGCAAGTAACCTGCTGAATCATCATTCATCACCCACTCAAGTCAGAGAAACAGAAACCCAACACATACCATAAGAAATTCAAGATACAGCACAAGCCAATTGAAAGAACACATGAATACATATGAGTAAATGAGAAAAAGCATTCACCTTTTGAGAAGGCAGATTCAAAACTCGGAGCTGAAGAATAATTGTCTTCAGAAACGCTACTGATCGGCACTCTTCTCATAAGTTGACGAATTAACTGTACATTCCTCTGCCTAATAAGGTCAACATTGTCCTAAGAACTGCATATTAATTCTATACATAAATATCTCCACTCATTATGTAAAATCTGATCAAACTCTCACTTACGAATTTAGAGAATGCCATATATTCTTTACCGCTGACAAAAGAGACAAACCTGAAGTCTATCTTTCGAGTACCATATGAAAGCTGAAGTCCAATTCAAAACTTCTCATGCCATTCTCGAAGATATAGAGATGAAGTCGACCTGCAAAAAATATAGGAAATCACAATTTTTGTAAGCTTAATCGATCCTGCAGATGTGGGTACATATGGAACTATTTTAAATTTGATCTTAAAATAAATTAAGACTACATTAGCTGGAGAGATATTTGAGATGAAATCCTTGGTGGATCTTTTTAATTCCAGATCTGATTAGTTTTGGCTCTAAAAATTTCGGCAAATCACAGTAATATCTGCATGTTCAATATATATATATATATATATAAACTTAAGACATAGAAGTATTTTATTATCAATACATCAGAACCAAAATAGATAGATGACGATTGATTTAGGGTTACTGTTGATACCATTGCTTTAGCTCTTCAGATGGAGTTAACAGCTTCGATATAATTGCTTTATCAGAACTGCTTTGACATTGACGATCAGAATAGTTCTTCTGTTCGTCCTTCTCCGTTAAAACTAAAAGACAAATCGAAAAAGATAGAGAGAGAGAGAGATGAGATGAACCGACAGTTTTGTAAGAGAGATAGAGTGAAAAAAATAGAAAAGAAAAAAGACAGATCGAAGAAGATGGAGAGAGATCGAAGAAGATAGATCGAAGAAGATGGAGAGAGATGAGATGAACCGACAGTTTTGTAAGAGAGATAGAGTGAAAAAAATAGAAAAGTTGTTAAAGTTTTTGACTTTTCCCGGAAAAAAACTGTTTCATATGGGCTTATAAATATATGGGCCAATTTCATATCATAATTAATTAGAGATGTATCTATTTAACCAAACTAATTTAACCAAACTAAAACCTTTCTAATTTGTATATATTTTTTATACATATGATTTTTGTTTATTCTTTATAAATCTTAATGGACATTTTAATATGTTATATTTCCATATAAGATGAATAAATAAATTGATGTTACAAAATTTATATTTTTGTTAACAATTATAAACTTTATATTTATTTATCTATTTCATATATATTACTAACTTAAAGTAATTTATTTCCAAACAAATTTTAAATTAACTAAATTTATCAATATATTTCGTATATAATCTATCATTGTTCATTTCAAGCTTTCTTTATATAATACAAAAATGTTTTCACACATTTGATTGTTATTACAAAAACAAAAAGAACTCAATGAATTACATGTAACTATTACAAAATACATCATTTAATATAAATCTAAAAATTAAAAGAAAATAAAACACCCGCCCGGTCATGGTCTAGTAACTATTATGGCTGTTCTCTTATTTCTTATGATTATGAAGTTTTTGCCCCTAATTTTCCTTGTGATGAAAAATGTTTTTAAGCAGCTTTTAGTTTTTTTTTTTGCATTTACGGAAAAGACAGTCGTTGCACCAAATGTCAAAAAGGAAAAAAGCTTGTTGTCGGACTCGGAGAAGTGGAGTTGGTTTGTGTTTCAAATCAGGTTAATAAACACTGTAAACATCATAATCTTGGAAAAATGAAACCTCCCTCTTATATAGCACAACAGCCTTGGTACAAAAACACACAAAGAATAGACAAAACAGAAGAAAAGTGCAAATCACAAGCAATCAGAGAGAGTTCCGAGTATCTTTCTGTTTTTATGAGGCTTTTGTCTGAACAAACATTAATTAATACAAATCATGACTCTCTGGATTAGATACAAACCGTCTCCTTCTCTTGATACTTGGATCCAGGCCTAGAAAAGCCTCGGTTGTTGTTGTTGTGGATTTCCACTTCTCATCATTGCACAGAACTCTTCATAGTTGATTCTACCATCCTGCATCAGGACAAGCAAAACAACATTATGGACTCTGGACTAGCTTTCTTGAAAAAGAAGAGAAGGGATGTTTAACTTACGTTATCAGAGTCAACATCTGAGAGAACCTCTTTGATTGTTGCATCATCTCCCATTCCATATTCCTTCAGTGCCACTTCCAGCTCATCTATTGTTATGTAACTGTGTATACATACAAAAGATGGTGAGCCTTCTTACAAATCAACTGAGAAGAAAAGGTTCACTTACCCGCTGCCGTCTTTGTCAAAATGCTGGAAGGCCTTGTAAAGATTCTCATCACTCTCAAGCCTGTGTCTATGCATAGTTGCAGTAATGAACTCTATGTAGTCTATTGACCCGTTCCCATCAACATCAGCCTAATCACAACCCCAGGAATATGAGTTCATAGAGGAACATAATTAAAAATAATAATAATATTAATAGATGAGATCAACTTACAGCATCCATGAGCTGCTTCACTTCAGCTTCTGTGAGTTTGGATCCCAATTTGGCTAATCCTTCTTTCAGTTCTTCATACGTGATTGTGCCACTGTTGTCTGTGTCTATGTTAGCAAACATCGCCTTCAATCCTTGGATCTCTTCCGTATCAATATTCTCCGCTATTACCTATTTTACAATCTAAATCTTTAGCACAACAAAGAAGAACAAGCAACACACATTTCATACTTGGAAGTCACCTTTAAAGCAAGTTTCTTTAGCTTATTCATTGCTCTAAACTGTTTCATCCTTGAGAGAACAGCGCTGTCAATTGGCTTGTCAGATGCTTCTCCACCTTCTCTAAGCCATGGATGCTCTGCACAAAAACAATCAACCAAGTCTCAAGATCAAGAAGGAACATATAATGTAACCATCCTTGACAGGGCAATTACCAAGAACGTCAGCAGCAGAGATCCTCCTTTTTGGATCAGCAGTCAGCATTTTACGGACTAAATCTTTAGCACTGTTGGAGATTGACGGCCACGGCTCGCTTTCAAAGTCGATATGGCCTTCCAATATAGCATCAAATATCCCTTTCTCGGTTTCTACATATCCATTAATAGACAGATGAATAAGCAGCAACCATGTATATATATATATCAACTGTTCTTATGCAACATATGAATAAAAATTAGATATTTACCAGCCCAAAACGGAGGCACACCACTGAGTAGAATGTATAATATGATTCCAGCACTCCATATATCAACTTCTTTCCCGTATCTACGACGTAAGACTTCAGGAGCAACATAGTATGCACTCCCAACTATATCTCTATACACTTTTCCTGTAAACAAGAAAAAAACATCAAGACACAAACTAACGTTCCATGACTTCTGTGTCCTAGAAACAATCAACTCCATCAATAAACCGGAAAATCAGGAAATATGTTTATATTTACCCTCTTCAATGAAGACAGACAAGCCAAAATCAGTAGCCTTGATCAAAGCCTTGTCATCTTTACTAGAAAGCAAGAAATTCTCAGGCTTCAAGTCTCTATGCAACACACCCATAAAATGACAAATCTTGACAACATTCACAATCTGTCTACAAACAGAAGCAGCCGCTCTCTCACTATAATGCCCCTTGGCAATAATCCTATCAAACAACTCACCACCAGCACAAAGCTCCATCACCAAATTCACAGCCTTCTCATCCTCATAAGCCCCTTTAAACTCCACAATATTAGGCTGCCCACTCAAATGCTGCATTATCTGAATCTCTCTCCTCATATCATCCTTATCAGCTTTCGTCACCAGCTTCTTCTTCGATATCGACTTGCAAGCGTACTTCTTCCCGGTTGAATTCTCCGTGCAGAGATACGTTACCCCGAACTGTCCTCTGCCTAGCTCTTTCCCCAATGTGTAGAAGAGCTTCACGTCTTCGTAAGCGTTCTCTAGAATCGAACTGCTCTTTACAGAGGCTTTGGGGCTTGCTGATGGCGCCGCCATTCTCCAGGGAGGTGGTTGGTTGGCTCCGGATGATGGTTTCTCCGGTGTTTGGCTTCTCGGCTGCGATGGAGTATACGAAGGCGGATCTTGGTGGTCTACTTCGACTGATCTGGTCTGTCCGTTTTGCTGAGCCTTTATCATCAATCCATTGTTCTTGGCGAAACAGTTTCCCATGGTTTCGGATCAAATTACGACGACCCACAAAGGAAAGATCGAAACTTTAGCTAAGTTAGCTCAAATTCCGACAACCCAGAGAGGAAAGATCGAAACTTTAGCTGAAATTCCGACAACCCAATGAAGAAAGATCGAAACTTTAGCTAAATTAGCTCAAACGCTGACAACCCAGAGAGAAAAGATCGCAGCTTTTGGAGGTTATCTTACAGAATCTGTAATACAGATGATCAAAATGTTAATAAGACAGATTTATTTTTAAAATTGGGGGGATATATTATTATTTTATAAAGACGTGGAAGCATCACTTCAGCAACGCTTTCAGAGTTAATTATTTTACCTTAATTCAGCAAGCAAAATAATGTTCGCCAGATGGATTTGAGGATTATTTAAAAATCAGAGAGTTGAAAAGTTGCAGAATAAATCATGAGAAGCATGAATGGGAGAACAAGTGGTGGTGGGTTCGTAACTTCGTATTTATAAGAGAGGGCGGCGGCTTTTTTCCTGAAGAGTGAGAAAGATAGGTGTTGAAAAAAAAAAAAAAAATATAGGTGTTGAAAAGTCAAGAACACCGAGTCAAACTCTTTCTTCAAAATAGTCTTTTTTTTTTTTTTTTTAATTTGTTAACCATTTTTCCATCGATATTTTTTTTTTGAGTTATTCTTAGGTTCACCCCATAGGGTGAACCTCTAGGTTCACCATCCAATAAGATTGCATTATTTCATATTTGATATCTTTTAAAAAAGGAAACAAAATCTTGCTAAATTATATTATGTCTTTAAAAATAAAAAAACAAAATAAATAATAAATAATAAATAATAATATTAATAAAAACGAAAATCATTTAAAAAAATATTTTAACACTAAACCCTAAACTCTAATCATAAACCCTACACCCTTAGGTAAATAATAAATTTGTAGATAATTTTTATAAAAAAAAATTAAAATAATTATTTTAACACTAAAACACTAAACCCTAAACTTTAATCTTAAACCCTAAACCCTTGGGTAAATCATAAACACTAAATCCTAAACCCTAATCCTAAATCCTAAACCCTTGGGTAAATCATAAACTCTTTGGAAAAATCTTAAACATTAAATCAAAAAATTAATACTAACCAATTATACTGTTTTTTATTTATTTTTCTCTTATTTTTTCGATTTTTCAATATTAAATCAATAAAATTAATATAATGTAACAATATTTTGTTTTCATTTTAATGATATATTAAAAAAAATAAAATGTTTTTTTTTGCAATTATTACTGTTTTTATTTTATTTTTATCTTTTTAATTTAAAAACATAATATAATGTTAAAATGTTTTTTTATTAAAAATAATTTCGTTTTTTTAATATTATTATTTTATTTATTTTTGTTTACAAACATAATATAACTTAACAAGATTTTATTTCTTTTTTTAAAAGATATCAAATATGAAATAACATCATCCTATTGGTTGGTGAATCTAAAGGTTCATCCTAGGGGGTGAATCCAAGAATAAATCTTTTTTTTTGGTCTAATTTTCCATGTGATATGTTATTATTGAATTGTTCCACCACTGGTTAAGACAAAGATTATGAATGTTTTTCTTCTTGTCTGAAAAATATTGTGCAAGTGCAAGAAAATAACAGAATTTTATCTTTGGATTTGGCGAACATTATTTCATATACAAGCATTTAAAACAATAAACTTATATTTATAAAACTTCACTCTCTTTCGAAGAGTTTCAACGTTCAAACCTTTTGGAGATATATAATTCCTTTTGTTTGTTTTACTGTTGTTACATTACATTTTGAAAACCAAGAAATGTATTGTGTAATTGTTTCAGTGCCGGTCCTAAATATTTATAGAGCGGAAAAGATTAATAACAAAATATATTATTGTAATTAAAAATTGAACATGTCTTTCATTAACAACTAAATTATTTAATGTTTTACTAAATATTTTAGCCGATATTTGATATAAACAAAAAAAAGTTGGAAACCTATGTTTTTTTAGCTTCTCCTTGGAGTTGCTACTGAATTGCTTAAAGTAATTTAGTTGACTGGTTTATTAAGCATCATACATGCAGGATGGTTTTTTACAACTTTGATGGGGTATGTAATATGACCAATTCTACTGATTTATATACTTTGAGATATTTTGATAAAAAGAATATACTTTACAATATATGATTTTGTGTTTATTCTTGGTTGGGGACAAACCCATTAAGTTAAATGATTTTAGTGGACGGAAAACGTTAACAAAATAAATATTCGTAACCTTAAATTATCAAGGTTATATGATGATGATATGAGCTAAGTTTATAATAGACTTTCCGTCGCGCCACTTTAACATTAGGTGCAGGCCTGGCCCAGTATATATCACTGCCTAAAACAAAACAAAATTTGGTGTCCCTATCGTTTTGAACTGGGCACCTTTAACTCTAGGTGCAGGCCTGGCCCAGTATATATCACTGCCTAAAACAAAACAAAATTTGGTGTCCCTATCGTTTCGAACTGGGCACCTTTAACTCTTCTAGACGATAGACAACCACTAGGCTATAAAAGACATTTGGTAAATATGATATCCACAAATATTTAACCTATTTTGGCGCCTAAAGCGGATGCTTTCCCAGTTTTAGGTCAGGGTCGGCCCCGATTAGGTGAATCTCATTTTAAAAAAATGTGAAAAGGTTAGATTCATGATTTAAATCTGAGTTATTAAGATACAAGTGTTAACATTCTTATCACTAAACTAAAAGATTTTTACAATGATAGTCAGACACTAGTATATATTTATAAAAGTCAAAAATCCTTGCTTTTTTGCTTCCTTTAAGGGTTGAACATGTAAGTGTATTATGGGTTTCATTTTTAACTGGATTTCATCACGTTATATGAAGAAAATTCTCAAGTTTGTAACAGTTAAAGTTTTCTCATATTGTTAACCGTTGTCGTTTAACATGAGTTAAGATTCCTTTCATCATCGTCTCAGACATGCCTGAGTTACAGAGATGCGTTGTGTATCTGTTCATAATCTATTTATGTTTTCACCTGTGAACTCTTCATCTTCCCATTTTACATCGCTTAACCATAAATGTTCCTCATTTGTAGCTCCTCTATAAACCATATATATATATGAATCTCATCTTTGATGAACCCTATCTGCATTTCCACAAAACTCATTGGTTCCTCTTAGCTTTAACCATCTAGAAAATGTTTCTCTTTGTTTTTCCAGTTCCTAAAACTAGCGTCATCGGCATCCGTCATGCAATTTTCGAGTCTCTTTGTTATGTTAAGGTAAACATAAGTCATACCAACCAAATTAACATATAGAACCCCAAATCATTCAGTATGGGTTTTAGTAAATGGAACTAATAACAACAGAAACAAACTCATACAACAAATTCAAACCTTTTTATTGCAGGCTCCGAGAACGCCGAATCAACAGAGATTCACTGAGTAAGGAATGCGGCAGAGACATCATTAACTGCGAAGAGTAAATCGTCTTCTATGCCACTATAAAACAACTATAATTTCATAAACTGGCACACTAAAAACGCAATCAGGCCAATAACCGCAAGAGCTTGTCACACTGCTGAAGACGATGAAGAGAAAAAAAAAGGGGAGTAAACGGTTATTCCAGTTTCAGACCTAAATTGAGACTCAAGGGGCATCGAATTTAAAGCCCAATCATTTAAAAATCCAGCTACTACATTTTTTTATGGTGTTCGAATATAGACATCTACCACTTTAAACTTTTTAGTCCACCGTTTCCATTTTTTAAACTACCACAAAATATTTTAGACAAATACAAAAAAAAATAACTATCTTAGTCATACATGTATAAAATTATAAGAAATCATACCATTATTAAACTACAATTATATATTTTCAAAAACATGTCATGGCACATTAAAAGAAAATTTTCTTTTTTGATAACAAAATTATTTCTTCTTCGTTCCCATATTAGAGTTGTATATTAACAAAATACCTATGTTCCGCTACATATGGTCATTAAATCGCTAATAACGTTAACATCCGATTGAATCATACAAAAAAAAATTAAAAATACGAACACGTATGAATTCGTTAACAACATGTTAACAATAAATATTAACCGCTAAACATTCCACACAACCCCTTAACAATACGTTTCCCTTTTCTCTCTTCAATCCATTAAACTATATTTCTTCGTATAGTTTTAAAAAATCTTAAAAATATTTTTTTTTAAATGTCAATTCACTATTTAACAATAAAGTATTACCAATCTATAATTTAGACAATAACAACCCCATAAACCACCCATCCTGGATATGAAAACACTTATAACACAAATACTCGAAAAATAATTACTAAAATAATATAAGAATAAGCATATGAATACCAACTCATTTGTATATCAGCTCAATTCAATTGAATTTTCGGTTAAACCCCGAACAAAAAATATCCTAAAACAAACGATAAAATTCCATTCTAAAACATCATAACGCAACATCACTGTCTCCGGCTCCGTGATTCACATTGGTCTTCCGCTACTAAGTTTCGTTTTTCCACTAAAATGTCTATATCAATTAGGGTATATACAAAGAATATATACTTTAATATCGTCGAACAATCTCTATTTTTCTGTGTTAAAATGGATTTGGATTGTGATTTACAATCTACTATATTAAAATAGAGTCATTTTTTTTTTATCTACCTATAAGTAGTCTACTAACTAGGACCATTTATCTACAATCCTAATAAATATAAATATCAAGTATAACAATATAACCTTATTTTATTTATCCCTTAAAAATAGCATCTACTTTTGCTGGTTATTTATATTTGTATTGATTTATATTTGTACGTAACATATATTGCCTTCACATAGCATAATATTTTATAGAGTAGATATAGTACATATATATAATATTTATTTAATATATTTCTTAACTATGATCTTTGTGTATTAGAAAAATATATCCTATTATACTATTATACATGAGTATTATAAGTTGTCTAATTAAAAATAATCTTGC